AAGCTGGTAGCTCAAAGAAAAAAGAAATTTCCATCAGTAGAATATTCTCTAAGTTTTAGAGTCAAAACTGAAATCTCATGCACACTAAGATACAAAGCTTGTACCCTTTGCTCCTTTGTAATTATCAAGCAAAAGCACAGGATGGAGGATAAGAGGAGACTAGGAAAGTGAAGAGACACAAAGACAAGCCCCAACAGCATTGTATACTTCCAAGAGAAACAAACTTTAAGTTTTAAGAAACAATCCCTTGCTGTCTGGGAGATGCTCAGGCATCAAACAATAAAGAACAGTCAACAGAGGCAAGAGGCCGCGCACGCTGCTGCAATTCCTGCTCTCTAATCCCCCCAAGCTCTAGTAAAAAGGCCAGCTGTTGCCACCTCGTGTAGGGAGTCAGCAGAGCAAATTAACTGCGGGAGAAAAAAGCTGCGGATATTGGAAAATTCTAATTTACCAGCCTCTTTAAACTACACTGTTTTTAACATTAAAAACATCCAACTATATCACTGAAATAAGCTTGTACATGGGTAGCCCAAGCAAAGAACTTTTGCACTGTTTTCACATTTCACTGGTAAAAGAATGCTATGTACATATAAAGTACTCAGTTTTGACTTAAATGTGTCTTCTAAGAGATACTCATACAATAAATATGAATACATTGAATTTTATTAGAAAACATTTCAAAAACAATTCCAGCGTAACAAAGCACCTCAACTTAGAATAACAGTCTTTGCAGACAATCAAATCAAAGACTGTCCCTCTTAAGAACCAGATCTTATAATGCTAAACATAAACACACCACTTACGAAGTTGTGCCTGAATCTGGGCAACTTATCAATAGATACTACTTGATTATAATGGAATTTAACAGACTATACACTTCAAGACATGTTAACAAGTAAGATGAAGAAAATTAACTTCTCTCTGCTTAGTGACTTTCACATATTTTGAAAGTTTAAATTCAAAAGTGTTTCATATTGTAGGAACTTACATACGGTGGTTATGATCAATCTTTCTTACCCATTCCATGAAGGCTACTGTTAACTGGGGTAGTTTCCAAACACACACTTAATGTGATTCAGATTTTTCAGTGATTTAATATTTTTTCCCCTCAAATTAGTTTGGCATAGCAGTCATAAGACCACTTCACTATTTACTATCTCAGTGCTTTTACATTCCACTTTTTCATCCATGAAATGAGAAAAATACCTATATCTATGAGAATGGATGAAACACACTTAAACTAACAGGAAAAGCATTCAAATATTAATTCACATTCAAATATTAATTCACATTCAAAAAGTTTCAAGGCTTAAATGAAAACAAAAATGAAAATAAATTTATTATAAAATAAGGAGATAAATACTCCATAGCTGTGAAAGCCCTTTTGATTCCTAGGTATTAATGGTCCTCTATGTATACAGAGAATAAAAAGTGTAACTCGGGCTTTCTTACATAAGAGTTCCAAAAAAGAAAAAATACCCCTAAACTCTAAATCTTAAGTAAGTGATATAATGGCCAAAAACTTACTGTTTCTAACCTAGTTAACAGAATATTCACAGAACAATCCCACACTGTACTGATACAAATCAGCTGGCAGCATCACCAGTAACTGTTACCAGTGCCCAGACACTCAGCTTCAGGGTGGGATGGACAACACAGTCCAACAAAGGTCTATGAGCTGTTAGCAGTATTCATTGCTTTACATAATCATAATATATATTTTATAAATCACAACAGAAAGGCCAACTTTGAATTGATCCATAACTTAGCTATCTTGCCCTCTTCAAAAAATTTTTTTAAAACTGTAGTCTATTTCAAGAAATGACTGGAAACATTATTAAAATAACAAGCTGGAAATCCAGCCTGGTATTATCTAAGTCAGCAGTGTATTTAAATTTCTATAAAAAATCCTTTGAAATAAAATTTCCTATAAAAATCAAAAGAAATTTCATCTAGGTTACAATGGGCATTCTAAAAACTAGATAGTTCCATGTGTGACTTGGTACTGCTGATAAGGAATCAAGGTAGAAAGGAGAGACATGTATCTTAATAAATTGTTCATTAAATATCTCAAAATTTCAACATTTTCAGAAATCATATTTCCATTTTTTCAAATTAATTTCAAATTATCAGTTTAAAAATAAAAATAACAGAACTAAATAAATCCCTTTTACCCTCTTTATGTAAAAATAATCTCAAACATAGAGAAAAGATGCAGGAACACTACAAACATTATTTATCATTATTATGAACTATCATCCCCAAATGTATATTGTAAACAAGGATAATTTCCTAAATAATTCCAACAATAAAAATTAAAAAAATTAACACTAATGTATAACTCTCATATATCCCTAGACCTCATCCAAATTTTACCAGCTGTCCCATTAATGTCCTTTCAGAGTGAAGATATGCAGTTCAGGCATTTCATTTTTCTGTTGTTTGGTATTCTTCCACCTGGACCAGTTCCTCAGTCTTTCTTTGATCTTAATATACATGAAGGTTATGGGCTTGTTATTCTGTATGTGGTACTTTAACTTGGGTTTGTCTGATAGCTTATGCACTCATGTTAAAGAACAACTAGTTGACTCTCCAAAGTAAAATGACAAAATGATTTAAAATAGGCAAAAAACTTAAGATTAACAAAAAATGATACATCAAAGCTTTACCAACCTCTGTAATATTATACTTGATCTACTTTGAAATTGTAGAAACTCTCGATTGCCTCCCTTTCTCCAAATTCCTTATACCAATACACTATATTCTAATTGAATACAGAAACTTCCTAGAAAAACTCTGACCCAGGAAATACAGTGTAACTATTAAGCTTTCAAGGTTTTTTTTTTACACAAAATATCAATAGTCAAAAATCCCAAGAGTTAAACTATAAGGAAAAGGTCTCCAGATTCTTTTTCAGCTACCAGATAAAGTCATGGCTCATCTCTTTTAGTGTGACTGTGCAGCTGAGTCACTTATGAAACACTTGCTTCTAAGGACATTATTTGGTACATTAACATTCCCTTAATTTTATATGTATAAGAGTAGTAAATCAACTAAGGAATCACAGAGTACTTTTTCAGGAAAATCTCCCATAGAATGTAACACTAGTCTAGAGAGCACAGAAATTCCTGTGAATAATGCATTTTCTTCAAGTCAAATTGGGAGTGGAGCATGATGCAATTACAAACGACTTAGAAAACACAAAAAAAGACACTGCTTTTTAATCACTTACAAATGCGTATGTTGCTAAAATACATTAAAGCATTTCACTGTGTGATAACTATTTCCTGAAGGATACAAGTATAAGATACACTTCTTAAACACTGTGAAACTGACATAGTTCCTCCTATAGCAGTACTAATTCAGCTTACAAGTATGAACCAGGGACTGTTAAATGTTTTTTTTTTTTTAAACTTATTCTCCCAATACTCTTGTGAAATAACTATTATATCAGTTGCTTTACAAAGACACTAAGGCCCTGGAAGATACTCTGCTTATGCTGAGACAGCTAGATTGGAAGCAAAGATCTGTGAGTTAGCACACGCTTAGTTGTACTGCCAAAGCAGCATGAGAAAAAGAAAAGTCAGGGTCTCCCTGGGGCTGCAGGGGTTAAAGCCTCAGCACTATCAAGCTACTGCCAGCCACTCTGGCAGGCAAGCAGGCAAGAGTTCAAGCTGACCCACATGGTGCAACAGACCTCTCCTGTCTCATCCCCTGCTCCCCGCACTGCTAGCCTACACCCCAGTTCTTGTATGCATAAATAAAACTAAATCTTTTAAAGAAAGAAAATGAGAGAAAGCAAAGAGAAACAACAGAAATGGAAACAAAAGCTCAAATGAGAAGTGTTTCAAAAAAGATTATTTAAAGAAAGAAACAAAGTGCTCAGACAGCTAGAGAAGGGAAGAGCAGAGGAAATGGGAGACCAGCACTCTGCTTGGGCACAGGGTATAAAACAGGAACTTCTGACTTTCTTTGAGGTATTCTACTGATTGTATTGTAGAAACTGAGCTAGAAATTGTTTTCAAATAGGAAGAACTTCTTTGTAGCCAGCATGTTTTCTTTTAGATATCAGAAAACTTGTAAGATAGATTAAAAAACACATTGAAAGGAAAAATATTGTGTTTCATGAAACAGTAAGGAAAATTTGTAACAGGTGAGCTGAGACAGACACACACACCCCACCGGTATTTTTAATTATATTTAATAATGTTAATCTGTCACTGATTTGGGTTCTCAGAAGTATAAATCTTAATATGCAATCCAAACATCTTAAAAGCTAGGAAGCTACTGATAGGTAAGAAAGTATCAACTGTACCCTCCCCCTATAAGTAACAGAGTAGTTAAGATCAACCCAGGTTGGTGGAGGGGGAGGGATGAGAGGAAGGGCCATCATAGAGGCCAGCTGTAGGTGTTAAAGCCTAGGTTTAAGAAGGTGTTCACCTAGCGGGGTTGGGGGCCTGGCCCGAGAGTGAGGGGTAGCCATGCCATTGGGCAGTCCGAGGCAGGGTGCTGGAGCACAAGAAAGATGAAGAGGTTGTCTCCACAAAAGCTGGGGCTGGCTTCAGTTGAGGAGGGACTCTTGGTTAGGGAGTGGGAGGAATCAGGTGAGGAAACAGCTAGCACAAAGCATAAGGCTATGAGCTCAGTAAAAAAGACCATGAAGAACAGCAGTGTGGCATGGCATGGCAGTGCCTGGTGAGTTGCAGAGTGAGCTGTGGTAGAGTAGGGTGAGAGCCCAAGCTGGGTGAAAAGCACCTTTGCACAATGTCAGGTTTGATTCCATATAGGAGACTGTTCCAAGTGAGTACAGTAAGGGTACTGGGCACCCTGTTCCTAAGAAAAACATATTAAAGTAGTTGGAGATTTCATTTTGGTCCCTTAGGGGAAATAATTTCTTTGTATTTACATGTAGATTTTCTACCAGTTTGAGGCTAAATGATAAATCAGTGAACATGGAGAGGTGAGGAGGCAGTAAGGTGAAAACAGGAAGAACTACTTACTGAGGTCTTCAGCCAGCTGAACTCGTTTACCAGTCAGCAATTTAACTTTCTTGTCGCTGTCTTCAGCAAAATCTTCCAAAACCTCTTTAACATTTTTCTCTAATCGCCTGACTGTTCAAAATAAATGAAAAAACCTGAGGAGCACCATTTGTTTTATGAATGAAGGGTGATAAAATACCTTCTAGAGAAGAGTTCTTATGCTTCGTATCAAGTTAAATCTACAGTTAAATTCATACTTCTCACAGTAAAAGGGAGAATCTACCTGTTGTATAGTGCTTTTATCAACATGAAACTGATATATTCTTAGAAAGTTGTATTCTCAAAATACATAACTAAAACTTTAATGAGTACAGATTTTCTAAAAAACTAAGTGATGTTTAGGAAGGAGTCCATTTCTCATTAGTTTTTGTATAATATAGACACGAGGAATGTCTTATCTTCCATCTTTTTAAAATTATGACTTATGATCATAATAACTTAAGGGAAAATTTAAAATTTGTTTTTCTAGTAAGTTTTATCAGGAATTGTGGCATCCTTCCATTAGAAATGAATGTTACCATTATCATCTTTCACATCAAAACTAGAAAGTGGCTTACCTTCAGTGTTTGTTAGTTGCTGCCTTAAAGTATTTGCTGTGATAGCAAGCATGCGCTGTATTCGCCAAAAGAGGACCACGTCATTGCATTCCAACTGGAATATGTTGCAAATTTAAAAATGAAAGCCGTGATTATGAATACATATAAATATTAGAGTCAGTACTTAAATCCTAAGTTTTAATAAAAAATCATCATATTTACTGAACACATTTATTCCTATTGTAGAGCTAGCCTACTGGACATTTTCTGCCCAGAATCCAAGTATGCCCCAGGCCTGCCTAGATTTGTTTTGATTCAGGTGACAAAGCAAACCAATTTGGGAAATACAGAATTTGATTCCATTATATTACAATAGAAATTCATAGTACTGACCCTAAATTTGTATTTAGTTTTCACTGAATACAATCATGTAACCGGAATGCTCTCAGGTTAACCTCTTTTCTTTGCATCTCACCCAAATCATTATTGAAATTCAGCTGTATGTGAAAATACATATTTTTAAAAAAGCTTATTCTGTCTTAACAATATCATGCAAAAAAAAAACCCACAAAAAACTTATCTCTTTTTACATAAGTGCATTTAAGTACAAATATCAATTAAACTGTGATAACTAAACAAAAGTACTTTAGGGGGTCTCAAATATGTTACTAATAGAACTCTTTCAGAAGGACAGTTTAAGCATTTTAACTTGTAAGAAAATGCTTGAAATATATCAGCTTGCTGCCACCTAGAGGCTATTTTGTGAAATGTGACATTGAACTACATACAATTACTTCACAAACTTTACATAGTTCTTTTAAATTACCTAAAGCAAGATTTGAGTGATATAAAGAAGGAATTATAATACGATCATAATATTATATAATAAAATAATTTTCAATATTAGTTCCAATATGCAATGGTTCTATACACATACATACAAATATGTATGGTAAAAATTTACAGATACACACAAAAATATTAACTAAAATTACTTCTAAGTCAGGGGATTGTAAGTGGCCATTTCATTCCACATTATCTTTTTAACACTAATTATTACATCTACTTTCTACAATTAAATTGTATTATTTTCTAACTAAAATGCTAATTCTTAAAGACAATGTATTTTAAGTGGTTACTGTCTCCTATACACACACACACACACAATCTTATTGGCACTGGATGTTATGTATGAAAGATGAAATTACCACCAAAGTAGTAAATATCTTTAGGAAGATATGAGTTATGCTACTTTTTATATATCACATATATTTTTTTTTCCCCAGAAAAATCAAAGGACTTAAAACTAATGCTAAAGCTAAAGTTTACTTTTAAGCATTTAAACAATTATTGCTACAAAGTATTTGGATTTGGAAATCTTACTTCAGAATCTACAAAATGCCTTTGGTAGTAATAAAAACCTCTTCGACAAAGGTTACAGTGGTTTAGAGCTGTTTTCAAGAAATGTCTTCTATAAACTTGATGCCAAGTATCCTTAATCTAAAATGGGTAAAGAAAACAAAGACCAAAGAGTTAAATCCACTTTGCTGGTTGACCAAACATACTCTAAAGTCACACATGAAGTTTACTTATGAAAAAGTTGTAATGGCAATGTTACTATACCAACATTTTTAGTCCATTTTTTTTAAGACAAAGATTAGTTTTACTACTACTCTGACCCCTTATAAGTGTGTTTTAATATCTGCAGTGTTTTTAATAAGCAATGCTATTATATTCAAACACTGACACCATAGAGTAGATAGCATGGGGATTATTTTCTCCTAGTTTGTGGTAAGGAGATTAAAGCAAAGGAGGTAGAGAACTTTGTCTAATGAGAGTTATATTTCCTTTCTGATTATTAACTTTTACTGGAAATGCAGAAATATGACCCCCCCCCCCACATCATTACTACATGGGCTGTTAAAAGTTCTAACTTCTCTTTTTCAAACTACTGTCAACACTATTAAATTAATATTAAATTTAATATTGTCAACAATATTAAAAAGGGAGAGCATGTACCACCAACACCATTTGACAGATGAGAAAGTGAGGCTCAGATAGATTATATCAATTTTTCATATTAACAGTATTAGCTAATAGGGTAGAATACAATTAATATCTCCTGACATCTACCAGGCCATCCTCTATGCTTGTCCTAGTACTTTGCTATCTTATTTAATAGTTTAATAAAATATATTGGAAGAAGTGTCTCTTGAAAACCTGAAATTTTCTTCTCAATTAAGGTACAGCCACTCTATATCCTAAAATATAAGCAAAGTCCCACCTATTTTATCCATCAATACTTACAGCCATTAACACTTATAGTTTAACAGTATCAAATCACAAATGATTTATGTTGGGAGCTAGGATCAGTGGGGACACCGTAAGTCTAAATTCAAGTAATCATTTCATGTAATCACTAGTTTTTACTTCATTTTCAATTATAAGGAATGCCAGAGGTTTAACAGCTTGAAGTGCTTTGAGTTTTACCACTTTTTTTGTTCTGACGTCTGGTAGAATTTAAAATAAGTATACTTATTTCTCTGCTGCAGAAAACATAAACAGCAGATCATCTATAAAAGAAGTTATGGATAGCTTTGAAATCTCTAAAATGGTTGTTTCCCCCACTAGAATTAACTTTTCTAATTAGATTTCACTTAATACATTGTAAATTAATATCACCAAAAGGTTTTGCTCTCTACAACACCGGCTAAGCAGAAGGGAACAAAGGCCTAAGGTTTTACAAAAAATTTCCCCCAAACAAACATGATGAAGGCAAGCAAACTGCAATGTAAAGTGTAATTATTTTCATCTTCATACTTATTATAAGTGAGGAAAATGAAATGGAACACAAAGGCCTTACTCAATTTTAAAAAATATGTAACATTCCTATTTCTCCTAAATTAACTTATATCTGCTTTAAGCTACATTCATTTGGGAAAAAACCCAAACATTTATAAATGGGCCACATGTAAGCAAAATTCTGTTTTGCAACCTGAGCAGTGTAATGTGGTGCAGCGGTCTGTTGGGCTCATCCCTTCACCAGCATTAGCCACTAAACTTGCCCAAGTACTTCACTTTCTAAGTCCTAGTTCCCCAATTTACTAATTAACTACTAATTAAAGCATTATGCTTAAACAAGGAATAGCAAGAAAAAAAATCTCTATAATCAAAACGACTGAATTTTTACTGCTAGCAAAGGTATGTATGATCAAGGTCAAATTAAGCATTTAAATATTTAATAACAAATTAGGAAGAGTAACACTTTACTGTAGGAGACAAAGATTAAGAAAGCACATTCATGCTTTTCGAGAATATTTATTACCAAACTTGGATCTACTTCTACTCCCCGAGACTCAAGGTTCTTTCGGACGGTAGTTATTTCATCACTTGCAAGATAAGCCGGGTGCTCCTCATTACATTTTAACATCTTCTCCAACTCGTTCTTGGTTTCATTGTGAACACACTTTAAATTGTTCAAAAGAAGATTATTTTTAGACAGTTCCTGATTTGACACAAGTGTAAAAACAGAGTTCCAGTTTTAATAAATATACTGCTATTGCATAACAGGTAACAAAGTCTCAGTCATAGCAAACAAGGAAGGCCACAGGAACTTGCTTATGAGTGCAGAACAACCTGGCCTTATGAGAGGTGAAAAATAAAAACATAAGAAAAGGGATTAGTCCTGTTTTTAGTATTTTACTTTTGTTAAAATGGTTTACCATTGAAATTATAGAGCCATGCTCTTTCTTTCTTGACCCTAGATAAGGATTTCAGTCTAAGAAAAAGTCTCCTGAATATATGGGAAAAGTAAGGTTCTACATATGCCACACATTTAAGGACTACATAACTAAAGGAATTTGTATCTATTGACATGTTTCTTTTCTGATGATATAAATTTCAGTTTACTTTTAGTCTTTTCATTAGAAACCACACTTGTATGAGGTAGCTATTATTCTTAAATTCACTTCTAGTCTCTCCATAACCATTCAGTCTTTTTACCAGAGGAGGAAAACACATACACAATACTGATGTTTGAAATGAAGATTCTAAATGTGTCAGATTAAGTTTATCTTTTCACTTTCAATCTTTCTTTTCACAAATGGTAAAAGAAATTAGCTTCAAATTCACTGATTACTCTAAGCAAGTTACTACTGCAGCATTTTGTTTCAAACTGTACCAAGCTGCGGAAATTGAGTCTCTACAGAAAAATTCACTTACATACAAAATAACTGTCTTCTAAATGGGTCTACTAATTAATGCATTATGAAACACTGCGAACACTTTATTACTTAATAAAGAGAAAATTTAATGTTTAAACTTTAATGTTTAAAGTATCCTGAATATATGAGAAAGATACGCTTATACTTAAACATCTGCTATTTGGTCTGAGATAAAAAGGAAATCTCTACTTCATGTTATTCTCCAATTTTTACTCTCCTGTTTCCATTTCTACTTCTCTTCACCTCTACTGCTACCACTGCTTACCCAGTAACCAGGAGAACACTATTCTACTCTCCATTCTGACCATACATTCATTAGTTTAGCTCAAAACAAGATGAGAGTATTTCAAAAGGGATGGACTTTTCCTGGAAACTGAGTAACAACACAAAGGCACAAAAATTTCCAGAGCAAAAATATCTCATCTTTAATACTAGATAATCTTCTGTTTCTTTTCATACTCAACCTGGTCACTCAAAAAGCAGTAGAAAAGGGTTACACAGCTACCTAAAATTGTAACGTGAGAATGCAGGACATTCTCAACTTCTGGATAGGTTTCCCATAATAACTTCTAGGTTTGAGGTCTGGGAAAATATAAGAGTGAGAGAAAGGTTAGAAAGGGAGAACTTGATTTAGTCTGACATGGTTTAGTGTAAGGCTTTTGAAGAAGAAAACCAAATACATATACTAACATCTCCTTCCAGGCAACTCTGATGTCCTTCCTCTTTACACTCTCAAATATGAACTGTGTTCTCCAGTCAGCCTGGGTCTCTACATACTACCTTGAGAAAAGGCTTTCCCCTAATAGGCTTCTAAATTCCTCTTCTAGATCCTTGGGTTGACCGTAAACTAATGGTTTTCAGGTCTCCTTTTGTTTCAAAGGGACCCCATGGGTTCAAGTTATTGAGAAAAGTACCTTATAACCAGGAATCATTTTCTCTTTGAGAAAGTTTTAGCCAAAGCATACTTATTACTAGCTGCTGAGGCTCATTCTGCCATCACTGGTTGTTCTGGAGAATTTATGACTAATTTCACTAAGCCTTGAAGGTCAGACACCATTTTCCTTTGGAGTTTATCTGTCTTATGCCACTCCTTTCCAAAGCCTCCTCCTGTCTCAGTCAGAAACCTCTGATGGTGCCCCTAGAAATTCTTCTCTAACAGACACTCCCTCTGCTATCTGTAGAGCAGAGATAACTGGTGCACCCTGAACACAGGCACAACCCTGACACAAAGCACTAGCTTCTGTTAGTCTCCCAATCACACATTTTACCATAAGTATCTTAAAAAAGGAAAGAGAACTACTATTTACTACTTTAAGAAAAAATTAAGACTCACATGTGACAGCTGATGAAACAAGAAATGTATGAAACTAGAAAATAGTTTTGGTTATATAAATTAACTCCATACCTAGAATGAAATTAACAACAACATAAGAGATAATTTAATAGGAATGATATTTGGTAATTTTTCTCAATGACTTGAAAGTAGGAATCATTTTGATAACTTCCTTACTCTCTAAATCACCTCAATATTTTCATATTTTAGTCTTTCTCTAATTCCACGGATTGAAGAAAGTAGACTTGTATGTCACCTCTTTTCCTCTTCGTTACTTCATTTAAGTATTTGATTCTATTCTATTTACATATATATTTAAGGAATAAACATGAATTAGACAGTAGTATAAGACAATGCTAGGGGAAAAAACCTGTAAAAATAAGGAAGGAATAAAAAAGGGTAGAAGTAGTGTGTAAAAACTTTAATGATTTATAAGTTTTATCTCTATAATTTCCCTCACTTATAATTTATACTTGCCTTTACTATTCTGTCCTTCTGAAGTGTACATTAAATGTTTCTTTTTTTTTTTAAAGGTTTATTTATTTATGCATATAGAGCTGGGGTAAAGGGCAGAGGTACAGGAGTGAGAGTATTCACCAGCAACAGAGTGGGGAGAACAGGCAGATAAAAATAAACTGCTGAGGGGAGCAGGGGGTAGGTCAGGGGAGGTCTGCCAGGCCATGTGGGTCAGCTCCCTGTCTGGGGATCAAACTCATGTTGCAGATAGCTTCATAGTGCTGTGCTTTAACCCACTGTATCACCAGGAGGGCCCTAAATCTTTCTTAAACAAATGAATTCTACAGTTTTGCTTCCCTTTACATTTTATAATTTTGTGAATACAAAAGAGTAAAATAGGGTCCGCCCTGGTGGTGCAGTGGGTTAAAAGCACAGCACTAAGAAGCTAAAGCCACTGCAGCAGGAGTTCGATCCCCACCCCAGAGGTGATAGACATGGCAGACCTCTCCTGAACTGCCCACTACCCAACTCAGCAGTGTACTTCATCAGTAAAATAATTGAAATAAGTAGAAAAATCCAAAGATAAAAAGATTAAAAAGTCACTGTATCTTTTTATTTTTTATTTTTATTTTTTTTT